AAAAAAAGGAAAATTCTATTTTACTTGTGCTTACATTTTGGAAAATATCTCTTTAATTATCAGTTTTGATAGAACATTTCTATCCAGGATAAATGCATGGTAATTTTAAATTGCAGAATTGCAAATGTAGTATATTAAGAAAGGAATTATATTATTTGAAAGATAGCCGTATATTTTTCTTTTGATTTAGAATAATAGTTGAGTTTCAACCATGTCACATTTTCAAGAAACCTGAAAACAAATGAGGATTTATTACAGCTTAACTCACACAGCAGAGAACACGGCAGTGGTCAGGAATTTGGCACAGGACATATTGTTTACTTTCATCACTGTGTGATTCATTCGAACTCTTGCTAGGCTCGTAGTCACACAGCAGTGCAGTGTACTGCCAAAGGCGTCAGCAATCTTGGCCACCTTTACACTATAAATTTTAGTGACACAACTGTGGTGGCTATGGCAGGTCTAATAGAAAGACCACCTGGTTAGCATCATCCTGAGTTTGAACAACCATGAAGCTTCACCACGCAAATTTAATAGCTTAGATCTGGGAAGCATCAGAGATGCAGCAGTACAGCATCACATCTGAGCTAAAAAGCCCACCTTCAACCAGGACAATTGTCAAGTTTCAGATCTACGTACCTAAAGTGCTACATGGGAACTGCATTATTATTCCTCATTAGAAGGGAAAGTTTATTATTTCCCATAGAAGGGAAATCATACCTCTTCCACTCAAGTCTGTGTTCTCTGGAGTCCCAGAAGAGGATTAAGTTCTGTGATTAGGCTAATTTAATAGGGGAGGTTTCATTATTTGATACCACACAAAAAACAGAATTACTGACTTTTGCATCCTTTCCAAATGTGACATGTCCAAGCAGGTCTGTAATGGCAGTCTCAAAGGACCTGTGCGGTCCCCAGCACAGCCAAAGGACAACCTGTTGCTAAGCAACCAATGTAAGTGTGCTGCTCAGCATTTATTTCATTTGGAAAGGGACATATTCTTTAAGTACTTCATCTTAGCTACTAAGCACAAAGAATTTTCCAGTTGTTTTTCCAGAGCTGTGCACATGTGTAAAATAGCCCATTTTCACAAGCAAATGTACAATTTAAAGAGCATGTGTCAGAGAAGAACATGCAAAACTGAAGGTTTGAAAAACTGGCATAAGTATTTTAGCACTTCCCAACATCAGCATCCTGAATTTGCCCCTTTGTTTCTGTGTTTATCCTATTTGAAAACGGGTTGCCTTGATAGCATGTATATGTCAGAGCTGTCTGCAGAATTTACCAATGTTTATTGATGCACCGTTCTTTGAAGCGTGCTGTGTCATGGTTTTCCCACTGATGCTACGAAATACTTTCTCCCTGACAAACAAAGGCCAGAACTGGATCCCCATTCTCCAGCCTGGAGACTCCAAATCTCAGATTCTGTAAATGTTTCTGAAAAGCAGCTCAATAGCTTTGGAAAAGAGCATTTAATGCCGTACATCTAACACCAATTTAACTTTAGTGCTTGTCCCTATAGTGAAATAAAACCCTTCATATCTGAAATCAGCCCTGGCCTGAATAGTCTCTAGCTAAATTGTCCTGAAGGAGTTGTTCATCATGTTTCCCAGTCTAAAATCACACAAAAAGAAATCAGATAATGCACAAAACATATGGGAAGCTGGTCAAAATCAATAATGCAGTTTGGTTTCTAATGGCCCTAATAAATGCATGTTTTATTGACATGTTATCTTAAAGACACTTATGCCATGCATAAGTGTACTGAGGCAGCTGGGGCATGCCATCTTAGTGTACGTGCCATCTTAATGTATAGAGGAGGCTACTTCTGGCTGGGAAGAATTCTGTATGCATTTTAGTTCTCCTCTCTAGCAGATGTAGCAAGTACATTCATTGTCTGATCTCTTTTTTTTTTTTTTTTAACCAGGTTTGTGGTCTCATCCCAATGCTCTAGCATGTAAATTATTTGTGGGTAGCCCAAGAACAGGAACAGTTCTGGTCTTACGTAGGTCCACAAATGGTAAAATATAACTTTCTGTTGCCCCAGACATTGTACATGTGAAAGTCCACCCGGTCACAGCCTGCTGCCTGACAGCACTCTGAACTTAAGGTCAGCTCTGTCTGAAGGCCAGGTTTTCCTGGCTACTGTCGGCAGTTTCTGCACCTCTGTGTCACGGTCCAGAAATTCACAGCCAGTTGGAGACAGATAGCAAGGGCCATGCTAAAAACCATCATGTTGCACTAGGACACAAACCCAGCATAAAGACTAAGAGTCACTCACTGTTATCAGCCAGCTTGTCCAAAACATGAGTGAAGGTGTCTTGTTTTTCAAACCCACACACTCAAAGTAGGTAGGGTGCCTGGGTAACTGAGGAAACTTTTGTTTTTACCCACTGACAGTCTTTCTGCTGCTGATCCAGTAGATCATATCAGATATAAACAGATGTCTTACTGTCCTTTTGATGAGTGAAATGGATACAAATTTTGCCTTTGACCGTTATGGTTTCCAAATGATGTATTTTGCCAAACTAAATGCAGTGTGGATGTACTGCACTGTTTGCAAGCTAAGCTGTGTCTTAGCAGCAACTAACAACTACATCTTTTTTTAGAGCAGAGAAAATTAAAGCACAGTGTTGAAGAAATGCTGCTGATCTCTGCATGGTAGCCTGCAGCTATGGTGACTTAAGAGAAGAAACTAAGGTGTCTTAAGACTATTCAGATACACAAACATCTTCCTTCCCCCTCTCCTTCACTAGTACCTCTGTTTTCTATGCTTAAATAGGGAATTGTCTTCCAGATCTCTCTTTATTGAAGGACTCACCTTAACTCTTTGTCTCATGTCTATGGATTCATAGGATTCATGATGCAGAGTTCCCACAGCTGAATCAATACTTCTTTCTTCCCTCTCCTGTTGTAAATGTAGGAACACTTTTGCCAACAGGCTAACACAGTAGTGCTAGATCATATAACATAACTGTCACATTTGGGAGCAAGAGAGAAAATTTGCTGCTTAACCTGGCAGCCTGGTCATGAAGAGCTTGGTTTTGATTTTGAGATGGAAATAATTGTGGGTTTCAATCCTGTGGTTTCGATCTGTTAATTATTGTCTGTCCTGCTTTACTTAGGGAGTACTCTCCCAAGGCTGCTGCTTCCTATTTCTTTTGAACATTCAGTCTCAGTGATCCCACGTTGCAGAGAAGCACACCATCAAGCAACCAACCAACCCTATCACAAGGAGTTGACTTGAAGAGTAACTCTAAGAAGGTCAACTGACCAAATCAAAAGCAGACTTGCTTAATGACTGAACAAGCTGGGAAATGAGTCCATTTTTTTTTATCAAGTCCAAACAAAATAACAAATTCAGAAAAAGTATGAAACAAAATGGCCCACTTGTTTTTCAAGTTGCTTGATTTCAAGTTGCAAGATTCACAACAGCACTTAGTTTTGAAAAAATCAGCATTTTTCACTAGAAGCAAATTAACCAAGAAATGGTTAACCAGCTTTTGCAAGAAGACACCATGTGAGCAGCATACTTTAGAGGAAATAATTTACAGAGAAAAATACAGCACAAATAAAAGACAAGGGTATCTTGAGGAGAGAAGTGTAATACTAAATTGAGTAAAGGGCAAAACACAAGATGTAGTTTCACAGAAAACCTGAGCTAGCTCCAATTAAGCTTAACTGGAGGAGCTATGTGCCATATTAGCTGGTGAACTCCACTAGCGTTAATTACTAAGGTAATCTGTGCCGTTGTCCTGCCAGATCTTGAGCCAGCTTGACAGACTGTGAGCACCAGTATGCAGTAGCGTGTGTAAATATCCTAAGTGAACTAATAATCAGGAAGAGGAAATAAAGTGCAGAGCACAGATTTGGCTACAATTCAATATTTGTGTGATTTTTTTAAAAATGTATCTTTAAAGAAAATGCAAGGGGAAGAAAAGAGAGTAGATGAGGAGGTATGACTGTCTACCAAGGGTATACTGTATGCTCTCTACAAATTATTTCAGAATCTGAGAGGGAGAAAGGAGGATATTCAAATCAGCATGTTTAATACATTATTCTAATTCAATTTTACTGAATGATTTTAACTGCAAACAAGCTTGCATTGTAGATTCTTGTCATGGTTTAACCCCAGCTGGCAACTAAGCACTACATAGCCGCTTGCTTGCTCCCCCCCAGTGGGATGGGGGAGAGAATTGGAAGAGTAAAAGTGAGAAAACTCATTGATTGAGATAAAGACAGTTTAATAAGCAAAGCAAAAGCCGCACACACAAGCAAAGCAAAACAAGGAATTCATTCACTACTTCCCATCAGCAGGCAGGTGTTCAGCCATCTCTAGGAAAGCAGGACTCCGTCACTTGTGAAGACAAAACGCCATCACTCCGAATGTCTTCCCCTTCCTTCTTCTTCCCTCAGCTTTATATGCTGAGCATGATGTCCTAGAATATGGAATATCCCTTTGGTCAGTTGGGGTCAACTGTCCCAGCTGTGTCCTGTCCCAGCTTCTTGTACACCCCCAGCCTGCTGCTGGTGGGGTGCTGTTGCAGCAGAAAAGGCCTTGATGCTCTGTAAGCACTGCTCAGCAATAACGAACTTGTCCCTGTGTTATCAACAGTGTTTTCAGCACAAATGCAAAACATAGCCTCATACTAGCTACTACGAAAAAAAATTAACTCTGTCCCAGCCAAAACCAGCACAATTCTGTTTAAAATAAATCCCTTCATAGTGCCAATATAAACAGATTTTCCCTTTGCCCTCAGCCAGCTGTAGTTTACGCATTAACGGGGGCGTTCTGCTAGAAGCCTTTGTTCTTTTAGAGAGCCACTCCTCTGGGATTTAGGCCCCTTGGTTGGCCACTGTACCGAGCTCTACTGATAAAACAGCAGGTGAATCTGAACAGCAGACAAAGTTAATAACCTGCTAAACCAGGGGCAGGAAGGACAGTAGCAATTACACAGAAAACGTTTTCATTGAAAGAGTATTTCTCCTTTGATACTTCAAAAATGAAAATTGATATTCATAGCCACATTCTACCTGAGGAATGGCCTGACCTAGAAAAGGTAATAAGAGTTTAGATATTCAGTGCCTTATGTTATCAGCAACCATTTCTACCAATGTAATTGTTGAAAGAACAATGAATGAAGGGTTCTGTTATAAACATCTCTAGGTTTTTGTATAATTTAATTTTTTTCAGATTTAAGATATTTGTATTGCATTACTTTGCAAAGCAGGAGTCCCAGTAAGAAAGGGATGGAAAACTGTGCTCTGTTCCCCACTCTTTATTTAGTCTGAAGCAATTCTTATATTTTTGCTTGGTTCTTTTGTGAGACCTAAAATTGTCAAATGATGAGTTGTAAATTCCACTTTCTTGATAAAAACAGAGCTGTCAGGTTCCCAAATGGTATCCACCTTTGTTTTAAATAAGAGAAATAAGCAAATATTAGACAAGATTAATGTTACCTAAGACAAAATTCATTCACATCTTTTACCCACAGGCATGAAATTCATTAACTTTAATGGGAGTGGGGTCACTCTATGTATGGTTAATTGGTGTACATCATCATTTTACTAATATCTGTTATTTTTTCAGTTACTGGAAAGAAGTAGCATATTGTATTAAAAATACAAAATCTGAGTTGTCAGAACACTGAAGCTATAAGTCAACTTGTCTTAACTTTGAACCTTTGTATGGTATCATTATTATTATTCAATGACATAAATTTATTCTTGTCAGTAATAATTTTCATGATCCTGTGAAAAGTATTTGAGAATGAAAAGTGTCATTCAGGTTTTCACGTAATAAATCTAATTCTTATTTCAGATTATCAAAAGCCATGTAGTCCTCTTATTCTGAATTAGGTTTTAGAGTTATTGCCTAAATAATTAAAATCACAATTCAGTATAAGGATGTGTGATCACTTTTTGATTCATAAGGGAACTCATCTCCAGTGCTGCAAAGGGTACTGAAAAATATCACATGAAACTATATTTATATATAGTTTATACACACATATGTATAAAACTATTTGCAATTTAAAATTGCCTTCAGAATTTCAGGGTAGCTATTTTTTGTAACTCTTTAATGTTTCCATTCATGACAAAAAATTCAGAGTAGAAAAGAGAAGACCTGCATTGTTGCTTCTTTCCTTATTGTAATTCTGTGTTGGTTGTAGTTTGAATGAACATTCCCTGTGTCTGACAGTAGTATGGAACCACTTGATTTCATTGTGCCTGTCTTTGACAATAGAGGAATACCGTTATTTCAGCCATGCTCTTAGGCATTTGACACACTACCTGAAACTTTGGTTTACACTGTACATTTCTTTCACTTAATTGTTTTGATGTTTATGATGGCAAATTCTCAGGTAAGTGTTTCCTATGTATTAGCTGTGTGTTTCTCTGATTTTAAACATGACAGTCCAGTACCAGTTCAATATTAGCCAGAAAGCAGCTGGGAAATGTAAACAGCATATTAGGAAAGAAAAAATGAGAAAAGCTGGCATTAAGAGCATACATAGGATTATTTCTTCATTAGTAGTGAAAAATAATGTTTTGCATATAACCTCTTGGAAAGGAAAGTTTGTTTCCTTATTTACCTAGGAAGTTATTTTTAAACATCTGTTTGAACTTCCTATTTGTAGTTACAAAAGCTCTTCAATGAAAAACACATGTACACTGGATAATGTAGGTGAGATGACATATCTCTTGGAACAATTACGTCTGTTTTAAATAGACAGGAGTTTACATATCTAGACTACAAAGGTTACTCTTGCTTATTTCAGATTTTGTTGTCCTTGCTCATGCAATATCACTATAAAAAAATCTATAAAATTCCTTCATTCTGATTTTACATTGATTTTTTTTTTGTCTGTATATACTTTAAAAGGGCAATAAATTCACTGATTTAAAATCACCCCAAGAATTTCTCAATGTTCACAGACATACAGCAAGGCTGAATTCAATACTGTTAGAACCTGTAGGCTAGAGTTGCATTTATTTAAATGCAACTTCTAATTTGCTTCTAATAAAGAAGCAAAAACAAAATTTTTAAAAGTTAATTTCCACCTGCTAGTTTTTGTTTCCTCTGTTCTAAAGACTGAGCTATTCAATGGTTTATTAATGAGCCCAGAACAGAAAACAACTCTTAGAATTCCCTAGAGTCCTCTGAAAATTCAGGCCATTAACATAGTTCTCTACATCTCATGCATGGAAAACCAATGAGGCAATCCTAACATGCACACATAGTGCTGAACTTTTCTATCTTTTTTCCAAACTTAGAAATACTGAACCTTGAGCCTGTGACTAGAAAATTGTATTGTCAATATACTTTTTTAAGAGCTTAGGAACCCATAGTAAGCATAAAAATTCACAGAAATAAATGAAATAAGGATTGTCAATACATCCAACTGATAACTAAGGGGAATAAACAAGAAAATAAGTTCAAAAACAGACCAGTGAGTTTCTTTATTTCCTAAATGCTCCTTGAGCACCTTTCAGGTACTAATTCTCTGCATAGCTTACAACTGCAATTAGCATGGAGCTAGTGAAAACTTAAAGTTGTCATTAGTTGTCATTCATAAAATTTTCCCTAAATTTAAATGTTATATATATAGCTATAAAAACCTATAAATTTATAAATTTAAATAAAATACACATAGCTAAACGTAACTAAATAAAACATACATAGCCTCAGTCATTAGCATCACTGGCTGAAGTCAGGAGGCTTGGCTCTGCACGCCCACTTTAGGCAAGCTCACAGTGGCATTAAGAAATGATTTGTTATCACAGGAAATTCAGAACTGTATTCAGATTGTTTACACTTCAGTGAAAGCAATGCTTGCTTTTATGCAGTGTCCTTTGAAATGTTTCTTTACAGAAAAATGAGAATTCTGAACATTGTTTTCAGTCTATTGCAGTATTTCAATATTTAATTTATTTCTAATCTGATAATTTATGAAAATAAAAGGAAATCAACATCTTTTTGTATGTTTTGGGTTTTTTGCATAAGCAACTTTGCAACTTTGAATCTCTCTGGAAGAATCAATGAGCATCTAAGCTTTTCCTCTTTAGCTTCTCTTGTCTGTTTAAATATTAATAGACAAGAGACTGACCTTCAGTCTTGCTGCTGAATCATGGAAGCTGAACAGTGGAATCAATACATCTTTGTGCTAATGATTAACTGATCACAGACTGGAAAATTGTCAGCCCAATTTTCATATTGCCAAATGCTTGATTTAATTTTTTTGGTGTTAAAATCATTCCAGTTAGAACTTCAATACAGTAAGCAACTTCAACCACTTCTAAATCAGTTGTAGGACTTACTTAAGAATGTTGTTGAACTGGGAGCTAAAAGTTCACATCTACAAACACCATTAGTCCAGTCCAGTTAAACTTCAGCACTTCTGCTGAAGTAGATAGGGCTACCTGTAGGCTCAAAGCTGAGCATATGTGTAAGTGTTTCTCTTGAATAAAGTACTGCTGGATTGTAAGAACTGAGACTTTTATTATTATTGCAGTGTGCTAACTAGCATCAGCTTTATCTTCTTTCTTTCACAGAGATACGGATATGGTGGATGGGTACAACTGGATCATCACTGCAAGGTTTGGACAGTTTGGTGCTCTAAGCTTATCTTGTGTTGTCATCAGGAATACAAACTCACAGTACTTCTATTAAAAAGCAGAGTGGCTATAAGATTGGCTGTGTCTTTGATACAGATTTCTCTAGAGGTCTATCTTTTATGAAGTAATATCACTCCACGTTCTAATATACCTCAGTAGAACTTCCTGCTTGAGAGGTGAAACTCACATTGTCTTGTATGAACCAGTATCCATTTTTCATCATCACCTCAATTTAACACTTGGAGTGGATAGCTCTAAGGAATTATTTTCAATAAGATAGGTCAACCTAAAGCAGATTACATGTAGTTGTTGGGTTTTTTTTAGTTAAATGCAGTCATCTGTATGAGAAGCAAAACCAAAAGGAACTGGGATTTTCATAAAGAACTCAGATGTGAACATCTGAGGGGGAAAGAG